AAGCACAATGAGCAATTATTTCAAGATCTGCTTAGAGATGTGATCCAAGAGGCAGTAACTTTTCAGCAGGCAACCAAGTTTGGGATGCCACGGCCCTTCCCAAGCACGTAAGAAGGGTCCATTCCCAGAAAAAGTTGGGGAAAGCCTTTAAAGATGCTCAGTAGTGTTGTCTCAGGTTTTCAGACATGACCATGCAGAAAGCCCCTTTAAAATTAGCCAGGTAATCCAGAAGTGGTGCAAGGAATGGGAAATGGTGCGAGGATCTTAAACAAACCCCATCTGGTGTCAAGACACCCTTGGTGAGTTGCCCACTGCAACCACCTTGGAAGACTGCATTGACCACCTCTTCTGACCGTACATGGGCCTTGGTCAACTACCAGTGAAGAGACAACTAAAGGCATCTGAGACAGTTGGATGCCTGTGATCAGCTAATTCCCCCACACACAGACCTCCCCTGGGCTGGGCACTGTGCTGTGCTCAGTGCTGTACGGATGTGCAGGTCAAAATGGACAATGTCCTAGAGGAGATGACCATGTTGGTACTGGAGGACCTTCTCTGCCAGCGAGGACACCATTGCAAAGCCCTGGTGCAAGGCCACTCGTGCCTGGTGGCAGCCTGCAGTACCCCCAGCTGTCAGTGCCAGCAGTGCCCCACGGGCCAGAATTCGGTCACTGGTTACATGGGGCATCTTCCCAGCATCCATCCAAGTGCTGCATGAAAGCACTTCAGTGCTGATAAGCTGTGAAAGATGATTCAGTCTGAAACACACATTTGTGCGGAGGCTTGACACCTGCCCAAGCAAGTCACGAGATGACCAGAAGAGCAGAACATCTGTCAGCACTGCTCATGCTGTAATATACTGTGTGTCAGAAAACACGCCTGTTGTGCCGTTTGGGATGCCACTTGTATAGAACTCCTCTAGCCTAACTTGCTTAGCATTAGTAGCTAAATTTGGTGAAGCCTTAGGCCACAAGCTGTGAACTTTCACCTAGATATGTTGATCTTTTACCCAGTTAAGTAAAAGAAGGCCCCAGAGCCAGTTCAAGCCTGAAGATAAGGAAGCTACATTCATTAACAGAAGCTGCAACCTTAGAGATTAGAAAAGAAACGGCCCATCTGGAGACCATGAAGGGACCCAATGAGGAAGGAGAAGACCCCAGACTCCAGCATTATTATTGGTACAAACTGCTGTGTTGAGGGGTGGGGAATTTAGACTGAAAGGGTATAATAGCCCAGGGATTCCTGTATTCGCCGTCCCTCTTCAGAGGCTCCTGGCTTGGGCTGTCGTGCTATTAATTAAAAGTACTTTTGTAGAGGAATCTGTATTTTGGCTTGTTGATTCAGCAGAAACCTGGAGTCAGCCTTGTTGTGATGAGTGGCATATGTGGTTTCCATAACACATGTGCATTTAGCTCACAGTAACACTGAGGTCAAGAGAGCAGTGAGAACAAGGCAGACATCCACTTACACAAGACAAGAAATAAGTAACGTGCCATTTTCATTGTTGCTGGTCTTTGAATCCATCTTCTGATACCACAAATATAAGATTAGGGCACAAATAGCAGCAGTAGAAAAACCAGATGGTGCACTAGTGTCATACTTATTACTGTCACTTAATTATTTTGATTATGGTGGATTTATGGACCGTCCTTAAGCAGTATTTGTGGATTGAATTTTTTGTAATTCAGTAAACATGAGGTTTCACATACTCTGAAAAAAATCTGGCTGTGTGGTGATTTCTCTCTGTAGAGCTGCCCAGCCTCGGGAGGTGTTCCATGCAGCCAGGATTTTTTCCAGGTAGACATGTTTTTGGGAGTGGAGAAAAAAAAAATAAAATAAAATAAAATTGGCAGTGGTTATTGTAAGAGCACCCCAGGACCAAAATACAGCGGGAAGCAGTCTGTGTGACTCTCCTCTTAAGCCCTGGACCCGCAGCAGCTGGGACGGCAGGCAAGGCCCGTGTGCTCGGTCCCCCGAGGGCACAGCCCGCTGTGCCCCTGCCCGGCCCTGCCCGCAGACACGTACGCGCTTCGCCGGGGCGGGCTGGGGCTCCTCGCCCAGCGCGGGGGGATCTGCTCTGCTACCCCATACACGGGATCTCCCCCCTTCGGCAGCTGACGGCGGGGAGGGACCGGACGTCTGCGTTCCTCTTCCCTGCTGCTCTGTCAGCACGTTGGGAGCACATCCCTCCGGCTCCGGGATGCCGGGCGCGGCGACGGGCGTGGGAAGCGCTCAGGAGCGGGAGAGGACGGAATGGCCTGCGCAGCTGCACCCACTTGCTAGCACAGAGGCAATCCCTCAGAAAGGCACTCACACAGACCCTCGCTGTCAGCTGGGGCCTGAGTCTTCATAAAAGCACCTACACTCATAATCGCCTTTGTAATCCAGAAGTTATTCTATCAAGAAATATTCCTTCTTGGTCCGTCTGCTTTTTTTTTTTTTCCCTTCTCTTTTTCTTCCTTTCCCTCCTCTGTTCCTCACGGATACCCATTATATCCCTTTCCTCCTGTGTTCTTCATGGATAATCCCGTACATAAATCTCTGACTATAAATCCCTTCTGTAACTGCTATTCCCACCGAGGTCGGTGCACTTACTCCCTGGGTGAATCCCTCCTGCCCTGCTCCTGCCCTGGGCCCAGGCTGCTGCAGCTATTCCCAGCAGCTGGTGCCAGGCACCACCTGGCAGCGTGGCTGTGTTTGCTGTGAGGGGGGGACTGTCTCTTCTGGCTGCTGCTGCTGGCCCCTAAGTGAGTTCTGGGGTGATCTGGGGCTGCTCCATCCCTCAAGTGCACAACAGAGGAAGGAGAAGGGAACTGAGAGACACATCCTACACGTGCACCACAGTCTTTCATTTCTTCTGATGTATCTCCTCACATCTCCTGCGCAGGACCTCTGATGGTAATTGTCTGTATTTACTTAATCCTGCCTTGTTTGCCGGGCTGTGTGTTTGCTACAGTAGCCCGCTGCTGCAGTCAGCCAGACCAGATGCTGCTGCCAAGTTGCACTAACTCTAAAGCTGCACCCCAGACAACTGCTTTGGTCTATTTTTAACTGCTGGTAAACATTAGGAAAACTGTCTGAGCTCATAATATTCTTCCTCTAGTCTCTTTTGAATTGTTTCTTGTATAATTATCTGCAAAAAGGGAATGCGGGAGAGCTGCCTGTGTGCCCTTTAGTTGTTTTCACTCTACACTATTACATATTTTATCTCCTATTTGCACGCAATGTTTGATTCTTCTCTTGTCTTCGCAGCTGAAAGGGTAAGATAACCCTGGCCCAGCCTCCTCAACCCTCTGCTGAAGCCACTTACATCTGCTGGCTCCTACAACCCAACAAAGACATTGTCTAGCTTTGACAAAGACAGCTTTTCTCTGAAGTGTTTGCCAACAGTCTGAGTTAAATAGGCCTTTATAGAACCAAATGGCACTGGGACAGCCAGATCCTGGGGACACTGGGCTGGGGGAGGATGGCTCTGCTGGGGCTGGGGGGGCACTGCCACGGCAGGGCAGGGCATCCGCATCCCGCAGCCACCCGCACAGGTACACTATGCCAAGCTCTTCGGAAAGGAGTATTGGGGATATTTGGGCCCTGGTTTTGGTTAGTAGTTTCAGGAGGAGAGGCGCAGCCAGCATGGGTCATGCCGATGTGAATGCCCATATGCTGCTCAGGAAGCTGCTGGTTGAAACCGACAGGGAAGCCGGTGGGTATAGACTGAAAGTACAAAGAAACAAAATTAACTGCATTAATATTCACCTCAGTGCAGCCCTGGGAAAGAGAAAGGGGAGAGAAGCAATAAGAAGGAGACGAGAAGCACCAGGCTGTTAGGGTGGGGGGTTCAGGCTCCATGGAGTTCAGACCCATGCTCTGCTGCTGACATCAGACGTGAGGATGAAGACTCTCCTTCCTCACCTAACGCTGCCTCAGCTGGCAGCAGCAGACAAGGCAGAGCAGGCAATTTTGCTCACATACGAGGATGTGAGTTTAAAACCTTAGATGCCATTTTTAGCTCGGCAAAGGGAACACAACCAAACACATTTTCCCTGTGGTGCAGGTCTGAGTGCAGATGTGTAGCATCACTTCTTTTAACGGGTCTTGCATCTGTGCAGTGCGGTGAGGACCCCCAGTCCAGCGGTTCCCACCTGGGCACTCAGAACGTGCAAGCAGCGTCTGTGGTACGTGACGTAGGAAATCATCCCTCCGGGAGCTGGCAGAAGCAATCCGCTCTGCTTCCCCGTGACTGCTTCTTTCCTGGTGAGGTTGCTGTGCTGCCTTCGGATTCTGTTACTCAATTAAAAACCTGCACTGTAAATGACTAAGGCTGCGTGTGAGCGCTTTGAGCAGAAACTGCATGTGTTTCAACAAGCAGCAAAGAGACAAACACGACCACTTCTCAGCTGGGGCTGGAGAAGCCGAAAACCAAAAAGGCACAGTATTTTCCTAGCTTTACAACTCCCTAAAGGTTTCTCTTGAAACGGGACCATGGGAGTGGCTCTGCTCTCACAAGGGAAAGCTAATGATGTATAGAGGAGGCACATACCCTGTGCCCCCTTCACACTTTTGAGTCACTGGCAGCATTTTCCCCAAGTTTGTTCCGCTCCCTGTCACACAAACTGATCTCCTCCTGCCAGTGTAACTCCTCAGTGTCAGGGCTGGCTTTGCAGTGTGAATTACCAACACTTTTCTTGCTGCCACACAGCCCGGGCCCCTGCTGCAGCACGGCAGGTACTACCCAGACACACAGGGAAAGCTGCTGGCAACCCAAGCAGAGCACGAGAGAGGCCGCAGGCTGCAATCCGCAGGCAGGAGCGCAGAAGGGACCTTCTGGAGGGAAGGCCTTGCGGCTCCACGGGCTGCCACGGTCCCTGAGGAACTGCCTGCCGTGGGGGAGAGGGCGGCAGCGGGCCTGGGCGTGGGAAAAGGGGACACTGGGGAGGGGCGGAAAGAGGCGAGGGGAGCGCCCAGATGGACAGGCCAGGGAGGTAATTTCAGTTTGGTACCCGATGGGCTGGGAAGTGGTAGTGCTGGGGGAGATAAAGGACGTGAAACGTGCGGTAACGGAGACCGGAGATGAGCACAATATGGGGAAGCGTTAGAAACGATGTGGACAGCAGGGAAAGGCTGGGATGCGCAAGAAGTGTAATGGAAAGAACGAGGCGCAGTAGTTAAGCGAAGCTGGCAGCGCGAGGATGGCTCAGGACGATCCCTCCCTCGTCCTCCGCACCGAGCGGGATGTCCTGCCCTGCGGAACCGCGGAGGGAGCCGGCAGAGCTCGCCCAGCAGGAGGGAACGCTTGATGCCTGGGAGCGCCGCAGGGAGGCGGCGGGGGCAGGCTCGGGCACCCGGGCCTGGACCGGGAGCCCCCGGGGTCCCACCGCGCCGCGGCCGCGACCC